ACGGCCACGGTGCTGGCTTCTAACTCTCTTTATATTTATTTATCTATTTATTTATTTATATTTTTGACAGGCAGAGTTAGAGAGAGAGAGAGACAGAGAGAAAGGTCTTCCTTTGCCGTTGGTTCACCCCACAAGTGGCCACTACAGCCAGTGCGTGATGGCCGTCGCACTGCGCCAATCTGAAGCTAGGAGCCAGGTGCTTCCTCCTGGTCTCCCATGCGCGTGCAGGGCCCAAGGACCTGGGCCATCCTCCACTGCACTCCCGGGCCACAGCAGGGAGCTGGAATGGAAGAGGAGCAACTGGGACAGAATCTGGCGCCCCAACCGAGACTAGAACCCGGGGTGCCGGTGCTGCGGGCAGAGGATTAGCCTATTGAGCTGTGGCGCTGGCCCTAACTCTCTCTTAATTCCCATTGTGTAACTACATATATTATGCTTCCTCTGCAATCTTAATCCAAACTTTCCATATACTTACTGCTTCAAGACAGTCTACAATTTATACTCAAGTCTACTTTCAGTACTTTTATGACATTTTTATGGTATTATTAGATTCTGAAATATATCCATTTTCTAACATTTCCATCCAAATGAATGCCCTCAACTTCATCTCTAAATTTCTTTCTTTCCCCATCATCTCTATTTTCTTTCCCAACACTAATCTTCCAAGTGTATCACGATGCTAATTCTCTCTATCACTTGAGCCATCACTATGTGAGCTATCATTTGCTATCTTCCAGGGTGTGCCTTAGCAAGAAGCTGGAATTGGTAGTAGAGCTGGGACTCAAATGCATGTAGTCTGGTAAAGAATGTAGGCATCTCAACCAACAGCTTAACCACTAAGCCAAATGCCTACCACCACACCTTCTTCTTCTTCTTTTTTAAGACTTATTTGAAAGAGTTACACAGAGAAAGGAGAGGGAGAGAGACAGAGAAAGAGAAAGAGACAGAGAGAGAGAAAGAGAAAGAGAGAGGTCTTTCATCTGCTGGTTCACTCCCCAATTGGCTGCAATGGCCAGAGCTACACCGATCTGAAGCCAGGAGCCAGGAGCTTCTTCTGTGTCTCCCAGGCAGGTGCAGGGGCCCAAGGACTTGGGCCATCTTCCACTGATTTCCCAGGCCATAGCAGAGAGCTAGATAGGAAGTGGAGCAGCCTGGACTCAAACTGGGATGCCGGCACTGCAGGTGGTGGCTTTACTTTACAGTGCCAGCTCCACCACCATGTCTTCTTTTTTTTTTTTTTTAAGATTTATTTATTTATTTGAAAGTCTGAGTTACACACAGAGAGAAGAGAAGGAGAGGCAGAGAGAGAGAGAGAGAGACAGAGAGAGAGAGAATCTTCCATCTGCTGGTTCACTCCCCAGATGGCTGCAATGGCAGGAGCTGCACTGATTCAAAGCCAGGAGCCAGGAGCTTCTTTTGGGTCTCCCACATGGTACAGGGGCCCAAGGACTTGGGCCATCTTCTACTGCTGTCCCAGACCATAGCAGAGAGCTAGATCAGAAGTGGAGTAGCCAGGACTCAAACTTGAACCCAAATGGGATGCCGTCACTACAATGGGCGGCTTTACCTCCTACGCCACAGCGCTAGCCCCAACTATGTCTTCTTAATAAATGTATTCTCACTCTCTAGCACTATGATTGCTTAATAAATACTTTTTGAATAAAGAGATGAATACTGCCATCAGATTAATGCCTGAAAGATGTAAGAGGGCCAGGTGTAGTTAAGACATTCTAACAATGCCTACATCCATATCAGAGGGCCTAAGTTTAATTCCCAATTCAGCCACAATTCTACTTTCTGCTGATGCACACTTTAGGAGGCAGAAGATGATAGCTCACATAGTTGAGTTCCTGCCACCCACATGGGAGAGCTGTATTGAGTTCCTGGCTCCCAGATTCAGCCTGATCCAACCTCAGTTACTGTCAACATAAGGGAAGTGAATTGACAGTTAAGAGATTTTTCTTTCTTTTTTTTTTTCTGTCTCTCAAATCAAATAAATTAATAAACACAAATTTTTAAAGAAGAGTTCTAAGAATATGGAGAATGGGAGTGCTGGTTACAATAAGGGTGAAAAGTGACTTCTAAAGAAAAAAGGGTAAGTAAAATTATTATGAAGGGTAATGAACAATCAGAAAGCAGAATAAAGATATGAATAAATTAATTTATGTATTAACTCTTTCATTCATCTGAAATTTACATGGGCAAGGCAAATAAATAAGATTATTAAAACACTATACCTATCCTCATGGATCTGTATTATAGTCAAGAACTGAGGGCTTGGTGGAAAACAGGAATAAGACAGTAAGGCACTAAATAGTACTTTTGAGTCTAATGTTGAAAACATCATGACACATTTGGAAGATCACAAATCAGCTTCTGGTCCACTCACCTTTGCAATTTAGGTCTGTAAGTAGCAGTTCTCAAACTTTATTGTGAGAAAGGAACACCTGGGATCTGCCTCTACTGTAAAATCTTCAGTCACTCAGTCATAATTTGCCATATTTGAGTTCCTTTAATACTTTTCTTAACAATTCATTTAAACTTGTTATATATCTCTCAAAAGATATCCTAAACAAGGGGTTTGATGATACATTCTTTTTGGAATATAAATGAAATAAATACATAACCATGACAAAGATTTATCTATACATATCAGTGGATGCAAAACAGTTTAGTATGCTCTATTCAAGAGTATATGCCCGACAAACGCCCCACCATGCAAGAAATTTAACAATATAAATTGAAAATTTCCAGGGCAGTGAAGTTCAGAAGTGTGCTTCCTAAGTACTCACATAGATTTCTGGTATCTTTTATGGATTATAAAATGATACAAAAATGTTCTTTTAAAATTAATGTTCTAAATATTATAAAATGACTCACAAAAATATTTTTTAAATTGTGACTTTTCATTTTCCAGAGTGTTGCATCTTTTATTCTGGTACTTAACTGTAAGAATATTTTTGAGCTGACACTGAGCCAATCCCCGACAGCTAAAGCATCAAACTTAAAAGGCAGCAGCAGTTAGAACAAAATGAAGATAGATCTGTGCTCTTAACCCACAATAAAACACTCGTCTATTTTATTTAGAATTACATTTGATTAAGACTGATAATAGAGTTCAAAGGTATAAATTTGATAGTGCTTTCTTTTCCTTCAATCTCAAAGCAATTTATATTAATAGGTAAAAATACCAGGGGAATAATTGTAACTCAGCAAGATCTATTCCTGAAAGGTTTTTGGAAACTCATAATCACAAATAGAAAAGAGGTTTAAAATATTTCACTAAATGAAAGGCTGTACCTTTTAAAAAAAACAGCATTCTGCTCTTAATTATGATTTTACTCAAATGGTTAAGAAAATCAATTTCTACCTAAATACTCTTTGAATGGATGTCAGTGTTTCCCAAAGTAGCTGTATATGTTTAATCTCTAGTCACATTAAACAAAAACATAAATGAATGACTGTGGTCCTTGATCTCTACATCACTTAACTCCACTGGAAATTTACTTTACTACTTACTGACATAAAGCACTACACTGTCTGGATGAACGATCTGTTGCAACAGTCTCCTTAACTAGTCTCCCTGCTTCACCCCTTGCTCTCTAGTCTATTCTCTACCTCGCAGCTGGAGAAGCCCTGTTTAAAATGTCAGACTGAGCACTCTTCAGCTCACAGCTGTCTAGTCCCTATCTCAGAGCAAAAGCCTTTTAAGTGGCACACAAGATTCCTCAACGAAAAAATCACCCCAAGCCTCAGTCGATGTATTATTACTCTTCTTCTACTCACTTTGCTCCTATGACACCAGCTTCTTTGCAGTTGGCTTAAAAACACTGGGTGTTTTCCCGACAGAGGCTGTTCCTTTTGCAGACTGCGCTTCCCACTGCTATGCATATGGCTCTACTCTATTACTTCCTCGAGGTGTCTGTTCAAACCTCATCTTTCAGGACAGCCTTTTCACAATCACCTTATAAACATAATCCCTGCCTCCCCACCCTCAGCCACATTTCTCATCCCCTTTCCCTGCTTTGTTTTTTGGCCACAGCGCTTCCCATTCGACAAGCCATGGCTTTTGTTTACCCCAGGAGTGTGAACTCCTTCTAGGTGAACATGTTTCTTTACTGTATTCACTGCGGTATCCCGGTGCCAGGAACGTGCCCAGCACATAGTAGATGTTCAATAAATATTTGCTTAATAAACAAGCAGCATCACTTCCACTTTGGGACTTTCCTCCTGAACCCTACTGAGAGCTACAAATCACAGCAGGAGTATATCCTCGAATTTCCCAACGGCATTTGGCGTTTGCGAACTCGCATGCAGTATCTTTTGTCTGGTCAATCGGTCCCTCTGGTTTTTCTTAGATAGTAAGGTGGCAGTAAAATTCGGAACTAGTTTGCAAGGAAGAAGGAAATCAGTCATGCGTAAAACTGATTTTGGATTATTTGATTCCTACCCGTAAACCAATAAAGAAAATACCTTCTGGGTGTATACAGTTTCTGCTCTTGAAGCTAAAGAAAATAAACAGTATTGGTTGCCTTTGCGGGGTGGGGGGTGGGGGTCGCGGAGCGGGCTTTGAGGCGTGAGAGCCCCGCGGTCCTCCCCGTGCCTCAACTCCCGTGCAGTCCAACTTACTTTGGGGGGGCGGGGAGGCACGGTGGGAGGTGTCGGCCAGCGGGTGTCTCCTTCTCACCCTATTGTGCAGCGTCTGGGCAAGGACGTGCGGTGGGCGAGCAGGGGGTGTGAAGGGATGCTGAGTGCGGCGCCAACTGGCTCCTCACACAAAGTCGGGAGGCGAGGGCTCGGCGCGGGGGTCCCGGGGGCGAGCGGGCGCCGGGGCCGCGCGCCTCGGACCGCAGCCTCGGCCCGGGGCGCGGGCGGGACGCGGGCTGCGTGGAGTTAGGCCCGGACAGAGCCCCGTGGCCTCCCGGCGGCCGGGCACACGGGGCCCCCCGCGCACCCCCACTCACCCCGCTTCCCCCAATCCCGGCGCCCTTCTCGGTTACCTCGAACTCTCTTCAGCGAAATGGGATCCTTCTCCTGTTCTGCTGACATTACAGACCGCAAAGCATGACTCCCCCCAGGCCGCGGGAATTCGGTCTCTTTGATGCAGCGGCGGCGGCTCCTCCTCCTCCTCCTCCTCCTCCTCGCGGGGCCGCTGCGGCTGCGAGGCGAGCCTCAGAGCCGAGGAGCGGCCGAGGGCGGCGGGGACGCGGGCCGACTTTGCAAAGTTTGGGAGGAGGACGAGGCCTCGGGGCGGCGGGCGGCGTGCTGGGGGCTGCTCGGGCTCAGCGGCGGCGGCCGGGAGCGCGGCCTGGGGGCGGCCCCCCGCCCGGGGCCGGCATGTGTGGAGGACGAATGCGCCGCCGCCGCCGCCGCCTCCTCCCACTCCTTCTTCTTCTTCGCTGCCGCCGCCGCCGCCACCTCAGGAGCCGCTGACAGGGGAGGCAGGAGGCGGGCGGCCCGGCCCTGGCGGCGCACTCACAGCGCCCTCTGAAGAGGAGGTCTGCGCTCTTCGCCGCTCCCGAGTCGCAGACACAAAAGCCCCCAGCCTGGAGCCGCCTGCAAAACCCGCTCCTGGGCGGGCGAGGGACGTGGCGCGGCCCCGCGGCTTCCCCGCCCTGCGCTCCCCAGCCCCGCGCGGGGACGGGCTTCGGGGGGCGGGGGCCGCTGCCTAGTCCCGCGGCGCCTCCCGCCGCCGCCGCCGCCGCCGCCGCCTCGCGCTCCGCCTCGGCCCAACCCCCACGGCCCGCGCGCGCCTCTCGCTTCGCGCCGGGGCTCGCGGGCCCGCGGCTCTTGCAGTCGGGGCGGGCAGCGCGCGCCGAGGGGCCGCCCCGCCCCGCGCCCGGCGCTCCCTCACTGCCCGCCAGGCCCGAGGACGGCCAGCGCCGCGGCCGACGCGCCCCGGCCGGGCTTCGGTGAGGAAATGCCAGCTTCGAACTTCGTCGGAAGCCCCGGCAGGCATCTTTGCCTCGCGGTCAGGGATCTGAAAGAGGGAACGTACGAAGCGAGAAAACTTTGTAAGCGGGAGCCGCGGAGTTCTCGGCCCGGCTTGCGGAGACACCATTTCTTCGACTCGGTGCCCGTAGCCTGGACACCTGTTTGTGGAATGCTCCCAACTTGGTGTTTTAACGGCTTGTCTCTTCAGGAAAGAGCGACGTGGAATTAAGCTAAGGAAGGGCGATGGAGTGGATGGCTGGACCTCACGGAGACGTTACGTTTAAGGACAACCCCCTACTGTGCTTGCAAATTAGATTGGATCACCGGTCCACATCCATCTGTTGGGCTGTGTGCTGTGAGGCAACTTAGGTAACCTCTCTGAGTCCCAGTTTTCTGATGTGTACAGGTCGAGAGGGCTACACCGCCACGACATCCTTTGCCCTGTTAAGAAACACTTTTCCCTGCTTTTAGTTAGATTTTCTAGTCATCCGGTTAGAGAGACTCTGTAGACGCAGACTCTGATCCCGAGTCAGGTGAAACACGGAGTTAGTTTTGATGTCAGAATCACTGAGAAGCATTCATTATGCATGAGGACATCGAACTCACCAAAACGGGAATCTCATCCTTCCGCGACAAGGTTCATAGAACTCATTCAACTGTGCGATGTCGGAAACCGGAGATAAACCACACTAGAGTCTTACCAGCTGCAGAAGAAACAAGTACCACTGCAATGGAATCTGCTTTAAAAGACACCCTGGCATGGCCAGGGGACAAATGGTACCCCTTATCTAGGAAAGGGAGGGCAAGCTGGGGTTCCTAATTAGAAGATTCAGCCTAGGACAGGCTAAGGAAAATGTTGGTACAGGAGCACATCTGTGGATAAGTTTCCCCCTCCCGCAGTTTACTGGAATGTAAGCTCCATGCGGGCAGGAATTTCATACAGATCAGAACTGTATCCTCCGGTACATAACTGGCATATAATGCGTTCCAAAAGATTTTTGAATGGTTGTATGAAAAAATAGGCTGGAAGTGCCCAAGGGGACTAAATTGTCAGGGCTTTGGTAAGTGTCAAAAAGCAGAAGCAATTGGTAATAATAAAGCAAATTGAAGTAATGCTCTACCTCACAGGGTTGTTGAGGGAAGATGTGAAAACACTTTGAAAGTATCAATCAATATGGAAATGCAGGGCTTTTTTATTATTATTATACAGCTGTTAGTGAAAGGAGAATGGTTGGAAAAAATCATTGCTAAAAGATTTTGATTTTTTATTGTTTCTCCCTAAAGTTAGATATTCAGAAATAATATGTGATTCAAAAGAAATGGCTCCTTTTTATTGATTCATCAAGAATAAAAAGACCTCCTTACACAGACATGGTTTTTCAGATCAATTTGACTTCCAAATCCTGACCGACCAGTGACTTGCACATATCCAGATGACCTAGAGAGCATTCAAAATTTTCAGATTCCAAGCCCCCTCCCCAGATTCACGGAATCAGAATTTCTGAGGATGAGGTCTAGAAATCGGTCTTCACATGCTCTCAGGGTGATTCAAAAGCAACCAACAGATTTGGTGACATGTATTTATGAGCCATATGGTACACACATTGTTAGCTGAAGATATATGGAGATTAATGAGACAATAGTGCTTGTCCTTAAGGAGTTCACAGATTCAGAGAGGAAGTAATAATGCAGAGTGGCCAAGCATTACAGTACACTACAATGTCACACTGTGGAGAAACTTTCTACTCATATTGGGAGGCAGATAGCTGGTAACGTTTGGGAGAGCCTTGTGAAAGAGTAGATGGGGCAGATGTTTGGCTTACTGGTGAAGCCATTGGGATGCCTGTACCTCATGTACTCCTGCACTCCAATTGTACATGTACACTGTACTCCAATTACAGCTTCTTATGCATACGCTGGTAGAAAGGAGGTGATGGCTCAAATAGTTGGGTCCCTGCCACTTGTATGGGAGACCCAGAATGAAGGGGACCCTGACTTTAGCCTGGTTCAAGCCGTTCCTGATTGTTGAAGGCATTTGGAGAGTGAACCAGTGAATCAGAGATCTCTCTCCTCTTTTTCCCTCTTTCTACTTTGTAATGGGCAGAGTTTCAGTTTGGGATGATAGAAATTTTCTCAAGATGGATAATGGTGATGGCTGCATAGTAATGTGAATATAAATAATGCCAGTAAATCATACACTTGAAAATAGAGGGACCAGTGTTGTGGTACAGTGGGTTAAGCTGTTGCTTGTCATGCCAGCATCCATACTGGAATACCAGTTCAAGTCCCAGCTGCTCTACTTCTGATCCAGTTCCCTGCTAATGCACCTGGGAAAGCAGCACATGATGTCCCAAGTACTTTGGGCTTTGTCCATCCACATGGGAAATCTTGATGGAGTTCTTGGCTCTTAGTTTCAGCCTGGCCCAGCCCTGGCTCTTGCAGTCTTGTAGGGAATGACCCAGCAGATGGAAAATGTCTTTCTCTGTCTCTCCCTCTTTCTATCACTCTGCCTTTAAAATAAATAATCCTTCAAAAATAGTTAGAATGGTAATATTTTTACATTATATGTATTTTACCACCTAAGTTGGGAGGAACATGTAGGAATTAGCAAAATATTGCAAGGGAAAATAGTGTTTTTAAAAAAATTCATTGATTGATTGATTGATTGATTGATTTGAAAGGCAGAGCAACAGGGTTGGGGGTAGAGATCTAACTTCTGATTCACCTCTGAAATGGCCACAACTTCCGGATTGGGTCAGGAACTCCCATGGGTAGGGACCCAGGGAGCTGGATTGGAAGCAGAGCATCTGGGATACAGGATACCAGCATCACAAGAGATGACTTAGCCTGCTGCATCACAACATGAGCCCCAAAAGTAGAGTCTTAATCACAAGAAACAATTTCCAAAGGAAATAAGGGGTGAAAAAGAACAAATCCTTTGGAGACCTTAAGTAGTTAGGAGTGGCTGGAGTATAAGGTATGTTTTGAGAAGTGGCAGTGGCTGGAGTATAAGGTATGTTTTGAGAAGTGGCAGGAACCAATTTTGAGGAAGTAGACAGGGGCTAGATTTCTGAAGGGTATTGCATGTCATAGAAACAGTTTTGGATTTTATTCTGGAAGCAGTAGAAAAGTATTGAGGAGTTTAAGCAGGTGAGTGCCATGCTTAAGTCTCTGTTTTAGAACAATCATTCTGGGGCTGGCCCCGTGGTACAGTGGGTTAATACAACACCTGCAGCGCCGGCATCCCATATAGGCACCGGTTCTAGTCCGGGCTGCTCTTCCAATCCAGCTCTCTGCTGTGGCCTGGGAAAGCAGTGGAAGACGGCCCAAGTGCTTGGGCCTCTGCACCTGAGTGGGAGACCCAGAAGAAGCTCCTGGCTCTTGGCTTCGGATCGGCGCAGTTCCAGCCGTTGCGGCCAATTGGGGAGTGAATCATCAGATGGAAGACCTCTCTCACTCTTTCCCTCTCTTTCTCTCTGTAACTCTGACTTGCAAATAAATAAATAAATCTTTTAAAAAAAAAAACACCATGTATTTGTTCATCATTCTATGAACAAGCAATTTGTGCTGGACTTGGTTAGAACAACTTTTCTCAGCACTACCTAGTGTTGGTCAGACAGCATTTGTGATCAGTTGGTAGCCAGTGGACTCACACACAGGTATGGTTGTTTGCTGGTAGTAAGCAGGAGAAATGAAAGTAACTGAGATACAGGAGCCAGCATTGTCACACAGATATAGGAGTCACATTGTCACACATATGCCTGTGACACCAGCACCCCATATGGGCTCAGATTAGTGTCTCGGCTGCTCTAACCCTGATCCAGCTCCCTGCTAATGCACCTAGGAGTACAAGTGTTTGGGCCCCTACTACTCACGTGAGAGATCTGGGTAAAGCTCCTGTTCCTGACTCTTGGTATTGGCCTGGTCCATCTCCTGTTGTTGCGGTGATCTGGGGAGCGAACCAGCAGATGGAAGACTCTCTTTGTTGCAGCCATCTGGGAAGTGAACCCAAGGATGGAAGTCTCTCTCTCTCTCTCTCTCTCTCTCTCTCTCTCTCTCTCTCTTTCTCTTCCTCCCTCCCTCCCTCCCTCCGACTCTGCAACTCTGACTTTCAAATAAATAAATAAATAAATCTTTAAAAAGAAAAAAAAAAAGAACGTATCTGGGATATGTGCTAGCATCCAGGAGACTAGTCTGGGCTCT